CCAATTCTATCATTTCTGAGGTTCAGAATGCTCTTTGATTGTAGCTGAACTATAAATCCCAGCAACTACAGCCCTCAAATGTCAAGGCTATTTTCCCCGAACTTCATCAGTATTCACATTTGGGCATATTGAGTATTTGTACCAAGTTTGGTCCAGAGCCATCATTGTTTGAGTCCACAGTGCTCTCTGGATGTTGGTGAACTACAACTCCAAAACTCAAGGTCAATGACCACCAAACCCTTCCAGTATTTTCTGTTGGTCATGGGAGTCCTGTTTGCCAAGTTTGGTTCAATTCCATCGTTGGTGGTGGTCAGAATGCTCTTTGATTGTAGGTAAACTATAAATCCCAGTGACTACAACTGCCAAATGACAAAATCAGTCCCCCTCAACCCCACCAGTATTCAAATTTGGGTGTATCAGGTATTTGTGCTAAATTTGGTCCAGTGAATGAAAATACATGCTGCATATCGGATATTTACTTTAGAATCATAACAGCGACAAAATTACAGTTACGAAGTAGCAACAAAAATTATTTATAGTTGGGGGTCACCACACCATGAGGAACCATTTTAAGGGATCATGGCATTAGGAAGGTTGAGAACCAGTGCATAGGGAATGCCTGCTGTTTCCAGCACCTTGTACTTAGAAATTTCTTTTTTTTTTCCTCCTACCCACTGTGGACATTCTGTTTAGCTGTCACAGCTGAGAGAAAGCAAGGGGGAAGAAACACTCTTCTCACAAATCCAATAATCAGAAGTCCTCAAGAGCTTTCTGGAAAGGGAAAAATCCCATAATGTAATTATTTCAAACTCTGAATAGGATGAATGGATGAATGGAAGTAGTCTAACCTGGAGGTGACCAGGATGTGGATAACATGGCCTGGCTATCATTGTCTAGGAAAGGTACCTGTTGATAGATCAGCTTAGGTTGCCAGAGAACACTCTGCCACCTGAGGCTACCTGATAAACGTGATCTTCTTAGGAAAAGTATAGTCTCATCTAGAATAGGGTAAACAATGGGGTGGGAACTGGGTTGTTGTATGTTTTTTCGCACTGTATGGCCATGTTCTAGAGGCATTCTCTCCGGACGTTTCGCCTGCATCTATGGCAAGCATCCTCAGAGGTAGTGAGGTCTGTTGGAACTAGGAAAAAGGGTTTATATATCTGTGGAATGACCAGAGTGGGGCAAAGGACTCTTGTCTGCTGGAGCTAGGTGTGAATGTTTCAACTGACCACCTTGATTAGCATGATTGCCTGGCAGTGCCTGGAGCAATCTTTTGTTGAGAGGTGATTAGAAGTCCTTGTTTGTTTCCTCTCTGTTGTTGTGCTGTTCTAACTTTAGAGTTTTAATACTGGTAGCCAGATTTTGTTCATTTTTATGGTTTCCTCCTTTCTGTTGATTTGTGGATTTCATTGGCTTCTCTGTGTAGTCTGACATGGTGGTTGTTGGAGTGGTCCAGCATTTCTGTGTTCTCAAATAATATGCTGTGTCCAGGTTGGTCCAGGTTGGTTCATCAGGTGCTCTGCTATGGATGAGAAGATGCCTCTAGAACATGGCCATGCAGCCCAAAAAAACCTACAACAACCCAGTGATTCCGGCCATGAAAGCCTTCGACAATACAATGGGGTGGGAAGCTTTGTTGGACTTCATTTCCCATCAGAAATGTCAGCCTGGTCAATGGTAAAAATGGATGAGAATAGCAGTTCATAATCATCTGAAGGGCTAAAGGTCCCTCGTGAACCAGATAAAGAAGAATTCTTCCATTAAGCAGGCAACCCCTCCTCCATTCTGTCAGGATTCAGCTTCAGTTTATTGTCCTGCTGCTGAATCCAGTCCATTATTTCTTATAGATCCCTTGCTTTAAAAGTTCAAGTAGAAATGGTTGGTCCACCTGAGACCCCATCATTGCAGAGATAATAAAGACAGCTAGAAGGACCAGTGACCTGATCTATTGTAAGATGGCCTCATGTGTTCAAATGTTTATATGTCCTTCGGCTAAAAAGCCCTATTATTTACAGTATTGTCCATAAACCTGTACTAGCCCCCCCACCCCACCCCCAATATCTTTCCCTTTTCATGTGGCTG